AAAATGCTTCTGTTGTTCATTTGCAAACCAATTTGAGAAGGCAGTCATAGCTTATGAGCTGTGAAGCTTAACAATCTTGTTAAAAAAAGCCGCAGATTTTTCAAATTCATGTCGTTAACAATGTCTTGTCCTGTTTTCCATTAAGTGTAGCGAAATTAATTTCATTTTAATTTTTAGTTAAATTTAATGCAATAATGTTAAATATTTTAATTGTTTCACCTATTTTTATAACAGATCGCGAGTTTTCCTACCAATGCTTAGGTCAAATTCAAATGGCTACTAATAAAGTAGCCAATTTTTGGACATAATTCCAAGAATCTGAAAATATATTGATAGATATATTGCATATCTTCTTTGATTTTCTGTTAGTCAATGTTACATGAAAATATTTTGAGAAAGCTACTTTTTTTTTTTTTTTTTTTTTTTTTTTTTTTGTTTGCCGTAGAAGTCTGTTTAAAGTTTTAAAATGCGAATTTTTGCCACTAATTTTATTTTTATTAGTTGATGACTTAAACAGGAATTTTTAACTGAAAATTGGATTTATAGTTAATACTTTTAAAAGGTGAAACTCTGTAACGTTTTTCTTTTACAAATATTTTATTAATGTGCATCAAGAATTGACATAATTTTTGCTTCAAAAAAATTTCAATTTTCTTCATAAAACCATTTTTTATAAACATGTACTTCCACTTACGAAAATGTTTATAATGACGCAAATATTCATATTTTGGCATTTTAAAATTTAAATAAATCAATTTTGTAAAAATTCCGAATTTGTTTTTTTTTATATATATATATAAAATATATATATAAAATTTGTGCTCATTTTAAAAATAAATAAAAAAAAGTGTGACTCCAGTATGTCAAAAAGTGACCGAAATATTTGATATTAAAAAACAAAGAACATATTCAGGGACCGTACACAAATTAAAGAGCGAAATGTTTGCATTTTTACGTAACTAAAAATAAAATTTCAATTTAGAATCCGATGTTTGGAGATTAATTGATGAGCATTTCTCTGCAGATTATTGTGAAAATATTGATCAACATAATTCCCCCCATTCACAGAATCTTATAGAATGAGCAAGTAACCAACTCTTAATATTATTTTCAATTATTAAAAATGGTCGCCCAGACGGTAGAGTGGTTAGGAGACCCTACTACGGGTTCGAATCCCGGAGATGACATGAATGTTTGTAAATGTATAGTGTCGGGGCGACGTGGTGGCACTCTAAATATGCGGCGAGCCGCAAGTCTTCTTGTGTGGATGGATTAAGGGAAGGGGAGAGGGGTGAAAGACTCCCCGGGTGCTTTCCCTCAAAATTGGGGTGGAAAATAGAAGTCCAACTTCTCTCTGGATCAGGCTCTGGCAGCCACTGTTCTATGTAATATGACAAGACAACTTTAATTAAAAATGAGAAGAATTTTTATTTTAATGAATCTTTTGTACAATTCCAGATTATTATTCTAAAGGAATAAAACTTCATAAGAGTATTAATTTTAACATTTGAAAAAAAAAAGAAAGAAAAGAAAATGTGGAAAATATATATATATATATATATATATATATATATTTTAAATTAAGAAAACGAATGCAAATCTCCTCGTGTTCCACGAAGTAGAACATTTTTTCGGCATACAATATATATATATATATATATATATATATATATATATATAAAAATTAAAGAACCTAGAAAAGCACAAAGAATATCACTGAATTGCATTTAATGGGAAAAAGCCAGCCTCGGATTGTTCTAGTTTAGTTATTGGCGAACCCTCAATGCAAGCTGAAAGCGACATCAAAAATGGGAAATTTTGAAATTGTGTATCTCGGTCAATTTTTGCCGTCAAACATTGTACGTTTTATTTTTTATAGCGAGTACAAAATTTTCTTCTATATAAGTAAAGGGACCGGTAGAAAAGTTATACGTAGAGAAAGAAGTTACATTTCATAATTTTTACAAAACTGATTTTTTTTTAAATTAAAAAATGCCAAAACAGCGACATTTAAAACATTTTTATACTGAAAGGATATATATGCCTACGACCAACGGTTGCGAAAATAAAGGACAAGTAAGGACCTTTGTGGACACGCGTATACTCTTTCCATGGCGCGTGAAACAAAACCAAACTAGTTTTCTTTGCAGTAGATAGGCGACTTGAGTTAAACTTCTGAGTATTTGCAAACTTAAACAAAACACGTGAGTATTTGAGAATTAACATCGAGTGTAATATTTGAATATTTGCAAACTTGGGCGGGGGGAAGCTAATTAAGTTCAAGACCTTTTTAAATTATTAATTTTTATATACAAACTCTCAATTTCTCTGATTGTTTCTATTGGGGTTGCTTTAATGCAAGAATGAAATCAGTATAAACCGATTTAACTCGAATTTTCTTTTTAAACTTGATGACTGAAATTTAGTTTATTTAATTAGAAACTCTTCCCTTTTGTTGTCTTCACCACGTGGAAACATTTAGCTTTCGAATTAGAAATTAAATTATGCATAGTCCATACATGGCCAATCCATAAATGCGAATTACAAACAATTTCGTGAAATTGTTTATAATTCATGATAATTATTTTATTTCTCAAAATGGAAGAAAATTGTGCTCTGTATTTTTAAGTGTCGCTATGCACGTAGCAAAAAAATATAAACAAAATATGAACCTGATATATTTCATCAGATTCATCTGATTTCCAAACTATGCGTTTCTTGATTGAACTTTTCCAATATTCTGCAGCTTTTATGATTTTTTTAACATACTTTTTTCCTGAATTCATAAATCCATTGGGAAACTGCCTATTAATTTCATCGTACTGTTCAATAATAATCGAAAAAGGTTATGTTAATAATTGAGTATTATAATTAAATGGTTTTAAGATTATTAAGTAATAATTCTGCATTATAAATAATCATACTTTTTCTGGTTGAGTATTTCGTGCAAAGTTGGTAATTGCGTTCGTAGTTGGTAACAAGTTGAAAATATGAATTTGCAACTTTGTCTCTTTTCACCTACAATGTTTTCGTTCAAAGGTTTTTTTAATACCTTTTTGAATATGCTAAAAATAAAGATGCATATAAAAGAATTATTATTTAGAAATCATAACTATATTTTTCTCAAAACCAAACGCGTGTCAAACATTTAAAAGCATTTTTTTCTAAACGGCTATTTTAGATTAAGTGGTTAGGCGTGATATCGATGGTACGCATTCTTTGTTTTTATTATCCTCAGCACGATTTAAAAATATGTTGCCTTTTAAAGGAGGAACTTTTATTTTTTGAAACTTTGAGAGAACAGTTGTAACAAAAACGCAGAAATTGCACGACAAACAGGGCATCATCGCTCTAAAAGAACTATGTCTTGAAAAATTTGTTCGTATTTTGCATCTCCCTTCCCCCCCCTTAAAAAAAATAATTTTTTTTTTTTTTCCTGAGATGAACTTCTTTTAAAAGAACACCCAAATTTTCTTAAATTTTATTTATTGAAGATATATGAAAAGCATGGAGGTGTACAACAAATCTCTTCCCATAGAAAAAAAAATCAAACTAAAATTTTGCATCATTTGTTTTTCTTAGCTTAGTTTTGTTCTGTTACAATACTAAAATAATAAACAGAGATGAACTGATCTGAAATAATAAACAGAGATGAACAGTGCGAGTTTTGTTAATTGAAATTATGTGAAATTTCATTCTGGAAATTAAAATGAATTTTGTTACGTGCAATTTTGCGATAAGAAGAGTCAACTTTATTTAAATTTAGAATTATTACTTCACAGTTAAGAAATTAAATCACAAAATTTGAAATAATGGACAGTCAAACGCTATAATAAATTGTACGGTCGCGGTTGATGTTATTAAAAGTTAATAATTTGAAATCCGGCATAATTTTAAAAATGTTGCTGAACATTGGAAGCAAGCAAACTAGTCGTTAAGAAGCATGACATATCAGTACTCAAGATTTAGCTTTTTTACCGCGCTCCAGCTTGTTCAGTATTCTAACCGTAGTAATTACCTTTCAACTATATGTCAAAGATTCTATTTGACCATGCTTTCAAGTTTTTCTTTAACAAAAAGTTCAAGCTTCAATCTGTCACACTGCATATTATTTTTTGGATGTAGACTTCAATCAGTTTGGTCTTAATAATATGGGTGACCGGGTGGGAATGTCTTACAACTTCGCTTTAAATAATTACACCTCGTTAAGACGTCAAGCATCATTATGCGGGATCATATTAAGACTACTAAGTGCCCAAATTGTCAAACAGCAAGTGCTACTAAATAATAACAAAAAGTACACTGCTGAAATTTCGCAGACAGGATACTTGTAACTTGTATTTAAAGAATTATTTGTATTTCTGACTATTTTCTGAGTAGTTACCATTAAGATAATTGTTGAAGTTAAGGGGGGATTGTGGAAATTTTTGTCTCGATGGTTTTGGCCGTTGCAGATACTTTTAGAAACATCTTTTATTAATTACAGTAAGACAAACGTTCTTAAAATTTATATGTCGAATATATTATAAAGTAAATATACTTTAATTTGCATTTGTTAAGTACATCATGGAAAATATTTTTTTATTTATTATTCTGACAGAGTTAAAAAAAATCGAGTTAAAGTAATTTAAAACTTAAATTTTTAATTTATTATTTATCTAATCCATAAATTTCTGAAGGGAAACTTAAATGGAGTTTTAAAAGCAGACGATTACGTGCCGAATCTGTATAGCTTATAGAAATTTTTTTAGTAATGAAGAGAACACTATGCATCTGAAAGGTATTCGCAAAAGAATAAAATTTTATTAATGCGTCTATTGAACCTGACTTTTCAGTTACACACAGATTATTCACCACACAACGGGTAAAAGTTAATGTAATTTCTTGTCTCTCTTGGAAACTCAAAATTTTATTGGTTTAATTCGGTAAGCATTTTGCTTAACTCTTGTTGCTGGCTAGAATTGATGTTTATTATTCATTTATTTTCTCTGTCCTGATAGGTAGCAATAAGGTTCTCGTTGCCAGATTCATAGCTCAGCGAACTCTACAGACTGGATTGGATTGGACGCAGGACAAATTGTCTACAAATCAAAGTTCCCTGGAGGTGCTTTACAGAGTTTATTGCGCCGAAAATTATTACGGACCGAAATGCGATGCATTATGTCGAGCTCGAGACGACAAATTCGGCCACTATACTTGCAGAGATGACGGCCAGAAAGTATGCAAGGCCGGCTGGACTGGTGATTATTGCGATAAAGGTAGGCTTGCTTTGTTTTTATTTTTAAATATCGTAAAATATTTCTGATAGCGAAAAAAATATTATTATAGTGGCTGCTGCGTGCTATAATAGGTCATAAAAAAACTAGAGTGACCCGTTGATTCAATAGTCTGTTGAAAGTTCTGTACCATAAAATGAAGAATAATCTGTCTAGGTGGTTCTTATACCATAAAATGAAGGAAATAGCTTCATATTTCCTTCATATATTATGTTCGTATAAATTGCCGGTATGTATTGACAAATGCCTATTTGTTGCTTCATTTCTTTCGATAAAATGTTAAATATAATTTGTAGTAGTTAAAACTGAAACGTCCTATTCGAGAAGCATTGAATTCAAATCGTCATGAAAACAGGTAATTTGCTGCAGTCAGCTGTTGTCTAATAAAGCAAATGAAAATTCTACTTTCATAGCGGTGCCTCAGTGAGGATGACGGCATTTCTGTGAAGTTTGCTTTTTCAAAGTAAAAACTAATCTTCATAAAGTGGATGGCAACTTTATGTGGGGTATCATGGAAAGATTTTACGTTGGCAAAATCTGACTGATCTATATAAAAGTGCCAGCTCCTTTATGACAAGACACCTTTACACCACCCCTCTTATGATGTTAAGTCTGTAAATATAGGGGGCAAAATTTGCTTAATATATATAAAAATCCTAGGAAAAATTAAATAAAATTTAGATACTAAATGCGCACTTTAGTGGAAATTAAAAAAAGGAATTTATAATTAATTAAACTGGAGTTGGTAATTATTATGTTAATGTTAATTATAATATTAATATGAAATATAATTATTTAAACTGGAATTGGTAACTAAAATGCTTAATTAATAAAAGTAAACGTAGCAAAAAACACAGTATCAGTTAACACAAAAGATAAAATAAATGTTGAAATTCATTAATTTTGAAGTTTTCTCATTGTATTTCTTTACAATATATAAAGAAATATATAAAGAGGCTAAAAATTCGAATTAGAAAATTATAATAAAAGTTTTAGATCGGTTAACATTATGAACTTTCTTTAACCTAATTAACTGATTTTTCTCCTCTTTTAAATTAACTTCGGAATTAAGCTACAATAGGAAGCTTCGGGATTTGGGATATGGTGACTTAACAACGCGCATTTATCAGTCTTGCCACTCCTGAGTCTTCTTTGTGCCAATGTATTGGCTGTTTTAATTCAATAATCATCTATTCCCATTGTGATATCGCTTCCGACGAAATAAAATTTTAAATTCGAGGGAGGGAAAAAAAATTGTAAGGTAAAAAATGTGTCGTGGTATGAAAGACAAGTGTTGACAATAATCAAAATTTCAAAACAGTCGTATATTAAAAACTCTCTTTACATAGATAAACAAGTTTCAAGATTTTCCATGCATTCGTCAGTTGGATCTAGCATATGAAAGAAAAATAATGATTGAATAGTCTTTATCAGTTTGTGTATCTGATAGTTGTTTAATGAATCAGAAAAGAATATTCATTATTTCAAATTAAATATTAATACCGGGGAGAGGCTCTGGGACTTTTAATGACGGAATGCAACAATAATAATTAGATGAAAACTTTTGTTAACAGCTAAATTGTTTCATTTCTCTTCGTCAAAACTAAAAGAGAAAATCTGAAAGAGTATGAGGAACTCTGTTTCAAACTTTCGTTAAACAGCTACTTTAGAAGTTGCTTTCAGAGTTGCTATGATGTTTGGACCATGGAACGGAACAAGCTTTGTCAAATTTTTAGAGTTTTTAATGTAATTGGTAATGTACTTAATGCCTTGAAAGTTAATTATGACAAAAATACAAATAGTCTCGACCAGTTTCAGATACGAATTAATAATATAGTTCATTCAGTTTATCTAAGAAAAATATTTAGCAGACTTCAGAAGCTTTGAAATGATCGCTCGAAAAATTTACCATACTTTCGCCTAAAATAAAACTCGGGTCATCAGATTATTGGATCAATAAGCTGACCATTATAGCACAAAATGAAGGAATGTCTTTAATTTTTTACTGTCTTTTTCCGTACTTAACCCTTTGGGTACATTTGACGTCTGAGACACGTCATTCACTTTTTTCCCCTAGGAGCGGATAACGTGTCCAAGACGTCAAACCAAAAATTAAACTATTGAATACATTTGACGTCTGAGAGACTCATCCCTTGTTTTCCTTTTCCTAGGAGCGGATGACGTGTCTAAAACGTTATTTGAGGTTAGGCACAATTCTGTTCATTTCATTGTAGCTTGTATCAGTCATAATAGAAGAGGCAATTACAGTATTTCGGTGAACATTATTTGCGATACACTGCCCCATTATGTCAAAAACAAGGAATATATTTTATGATAGTGATAGCGAAAGTAACTTTGAGAAATCTAAAGAAGAATTGTTTAGTGCTCCCGAAATTGACAATTACCATGAAATACAAAGCGGTGATGAAGACGATAATGAACTAGAAAATGATGACAATTGTAATATAAAACCAAGGTTTCGAAGACGCACAAGACGTCTATCGAGCAGTGACAGTGAATCTTCTCCTGAACCAGTATCAGAGGAATGGATTTGGGAAAAAGAAGAAAATGTAGCCGATATAAAAAGTTTTTCTGAAATATCTGGAATTAATCCTTTGAGCCTGCATAGACTAGGTGGTAATCGTACGCTTTTAGATGTTTTGAAAGAAGTCTTGAATGAAGATTTTTGGGACACTATAGTAAAAGAGATGAATAGATATGCCAGACAAGTGAAAAGTGATAGAAAAAGAATGTTGTGTAACAAAAAAAAAAAAAAAAAAAAAAAAAAAAAAAAAAACCAAAGGTTGTTTCCTGTAAGTTCTGAGGAAATGAAAGCTTATATTGCATTATGCATCTTGATGTCGCAAATGAAGAAAGCCAAAAATGCATATGTATTGTTCAAAAAGATATGCAATAAGTACTCCAATTTTTGCCAGCACTATGCCACGCGATAGGTTTTTTTGATATTTCAAGCTTTCTACATTTTACGGATAATGAAAAGGAAAATAAAGATAACAGAATAAGAAAGATTAGAAATATAGTGTATTACCTAAATAATAAATTTTGTTACCTTTATACTCCTGATAGTGAAGTAGCTGTTGATGAATCGCAACGAAAATTTATATCCGTTCCAGATGCAAATATTTTCTCAAATAAATCCGTACCCAAGGGGTTTAAAGGACAGTTGGAAGGAGAAGCAGTGTTGATCAGTCCCAGTTGATGACGAATAAGCCCGATTAAGACTGTAAGGAAATTTAAGCGTAGCATTCTTTTTGGGAACCTCAAAGCCTACCTTCCTTAGATGTATGAGGAAAATTAGGACTGCGAGGGATTACAAGAGGATTTTTTGCGACTTCCTAAAATCTGGGGGTAGGAGCCTGGACAGTAACAGCTCCTGTCGATGATTTGTCGCCTTAAGTTCAAGACCGACTATAGAGAAATTCATTACAGAATTTTGAAGGAGATTTCTTGAAAATTTTACTGTTAACTCGCAAAGAATCTAACCCTAATTTTCAGTTTACTGGATTGGTATGGTTATATCGCATCCATCCTGTAGGGATCGTTACGCTACAAGAATGTGTAAGGGAAATGTCTTTTAACTCCTTATAACCTACCTCCAGAATCCTGTATGGCTATAAAGAAGAATAAATTACCTTGATTAAAACATTTTATTTGTCGTTCTTAGGCTGAATTAGATGCATGAATTTCGGTATATGTTAAATTAATTGTCAGAAAGTAACAGTCAGTGGTATAACTGATGCTGGGCATAACGCATAAATCTGTAACTGCGCCTAACTGCGGTATACTTTAGCTTGGAAGGAAGTTGTTGTTCTTAGGCTGAATTAGATGCATGAATTTCAGAATAATTATGCAGGGCATAAAGCATGAATCCTGCGCCTAAAGGTGTGCCTTGGTTTGGTAGGAAGCTAAAGATGTTGCTTGCGAGAACACCGAAAATGTAGAATTGCATATTGGCTAAATTTATGCAAAAATTGCACTGAACTTTCAAAATTTTGATTCCTTGATGTTGACTATCACGTTAGGAGTTCAAATTTGAACTGTTATACCAAATATTTCCGAGTCCAGGTTTGCAGCATAGTCGCGCTTTCCAGGAATTGGCAACCCTAATTGTTCGCGTGCCTTGGACATCCGGTGAAATGTTTGCGTGCGGGAAAGAGATAGTTATCGCTCCCCCCCTTTTTCTGCAGCTTTTCACGGTCTTAACTGAGAAAGGAATCAGGCTTCAGTGAAAAGACGAAGTAGGCGGAGCACTAGCCCCTTTCTTAAAGCCCCTTCTTTTCTTTTTACTTTCTTTTCCCCCTTCTCTTTAATCATGGCTCTTTATACGTTTACGACATTCATTGTTCTAGTGGCCAATGAAAATGAATGAAAAACGGATCAAAGATACAGATGAGAGTTGCGTCAGTTTCTCAATTAAAAATTTTGTTCTTCAGGCTCTCAGTTATTTACCTAAAATAAAAACGTTTATCTCCAGTAATTTTTCAAAAATGCAAGTAAATCGATTTTCATGCCTTAATATATGTTACTCTCTAATTGCTGAATAGTTAACTATTAAGTAGTTGTATGTTTGAGTTTTCTTCCATACGGTAATTTCCTCTTCGAATGCCCACTTTCCAAAGGCAGATAGTATGAGTTGTTTTCCCATAATTTGGTCTAAGTCATTCAACGCGCCAGTGATCTTTTCCTCATCCAGGCTATTTAATGTTAAAATTTCGTAGAATATTTTCCTCGTTAATATTTGAGGACAAAACTACTTGGGCACCTGAATATATGAACTGAATATTGGGAAGATGCAGCGTTTTCTTTAACGTGTTTATATCCTTTCTAGTATTTGCAAATGCATAGGCATGGATCCTAGCGATCATTATTAAAAACATATACAAAAGATTATCTTATATTCCCAAGACATAAAAGTCTAAGGTAGAGCGTTCTTTCAAGGGTCCCAAGTGCGTATCTTTTTTTTCCTGAAGACAAATGTTAATTATAATGAATTATTGGATGATTTTGAGGTTATTAAAATCTTAGGTCTGGGTGTAATACGCCTAGATCGTAATCAGAATCTGCATATTCAGGTTATCTTCCTTTTGATTGTTTAAACTTCTGATTATATTTCTTAAAGCAAAAAATAACATTTTGGACATTATGGCTTTCACATATCTTAAATTTACTCGAGAAAAGTCTGTACGTTGCATTGCGTTACGTTAGTTGATTTTATACTAAGATAGCGAACGCTGGTTCATTAATTGCTATTTTGGCTTTAAAATAGCAAAATCATATGAAATAGAAGCTTTTTTAACTAATATATAACTTTATGCACTAGTAATGATAAATGCGCCGAATCATTTTATGTTTAAAGAGTCAGAAAGTGTAATTTCTTATCTTTACTTCAAAAATAAAAATTCTTAGAGAAAACGATTATCTTCTTCCCTTTGCATCCTATTTCCTCGATAACAACAATTTAGGTTTAGTTTATTTCAAATTAGGTTTCTCCAGAATACTTCGTGAAAGGTTACTATGAGGTGAGGGTCTTATCTCTCTCTTTGACCAATCTAAATCTCTAGCAAAAATGTCCGTTTTGTGGCTTTGCTGAGATAGATCGTCTTTGTGGCATTATTTTGAAAGCAAGTAAAATGATTAGCAATTAAGTATTTCTTAAAATATGTACTATATTATAGTATCAGTTTCTTATATTTCAACCTTTTTCAAATTGCCAGGGCTTATTATATCAGCCTTCAACGGTGCGTTTACCTTTATGGTAACCCCTCCCCCATTTTTATATTTTTATCAAAGAAAAAAAATTACTTTTAATCAGAAAAACTGATTTATTTACCTATTTTATTTTCTCCCACCTTTTTACGTGCTTTCGTGCTGTAACGGTTAGCAAACTCGGTGCATATTCAAATTCTGTCGTGGGTATTGTTCATTTTTCGTGTTTCCTACTTCATAAATCCTAATGACACTACAATTTATTATTCGTAAAATGTCGGAGGCCTATAGTTGAGTGAAATTTGAGGATGTGTACTCGTGATTAAAAAGTGGAAAGGCGGCAGATCTATGAATGCAAGAGACTTTCCAGAACAATACTTATCATGGAGAATAATGAGAAAGAAAAGTGTTTGTCAGGTCTGAATGAAAAAACAAACTTAAATATGAAAAACAAGTTTAATAGGAATTTAATAAATTATAAATGTACCCAACAATGTTGTACTATTGAATTTTAGTGCTTTATAATGCTGCTATTAAATTAATGGGAGATTTGTGCTTATATAGTTCAACCGCGTTTTAAATCAACTTGAAATGACTGAAAAATCTGCATTCACCCACCCATGTTATCTGAGTATTCTTGCCACTGCCCAAACTATCTGAGTATATGAGAGACTATATAACACTTTAGATTCACACGCAGGCATGAAAATACTGCTCGTTTCTTTTCATACAAATCGAAATCAATACCACAAAATTATTGTGGACCCCTTATCTGAATTAATGTGGATCTATATTACCTCGGTTAATTTCAACACTTAAACTTTCTTTGAAAAGTCATTAAAAAATATGCAAATAGATAAAGCAATCTCAGCCAGTAATTATATCACCCATGGCTAACTGGAAGTCCGTTGCAGAAGACTAATTTATTCTCCTGTATGCACGGAAGCCCCAGAGATAGAATAGGAGTGTAAGGTTTAGCAACATCAAACAAAATCAGTTTCCATTCTTCCAGACTCTTCGATGGCTTTGCTTGTAAAATATGTTATTTTATTTCTGTGTTATGGTAATATTGATTCTCTTTCAGTGGTCTGCCCGCCTGGATGCCATCATGGTACATGTGATCAGCCCAATAAATGCAAGTAAGTACAAATTTTGTTTTTTGAATTTCTTTATTTAGCGGTTAATTTTGTTTTCGCCAAATTCCGGAAATTTTGTCCTGATATATTATTAGTCCAAAGGGGCTTTGTCCCTGAAGGACTATTGTTTTCGTTTTGCGATTTTGCATCGATTCACTCACTACAAAGGGCGAATCACTTTTCAAACTGTTGCCACAAAGTATTATCGCCCTGTGTTATATTTAAAGAAATTAAGTAATGAAAAATCTGCATAAATGTATTTATATTTCTCGCATTGTGATAAAACAACGGTACATAGAGCCACCGAATTTTGAATGACGTAATCCTCCTACGAATATGGGCATGTGGAAGACCAAATTTGGAATTTGTTTTATGATTGATTTCCTATTTTGTAGAACTTTAAGGAATTTTTGATTAGCAAACTCAAGGATTTCAAATCGAGGAATTTGTTTTATTATCGATTTCCTATTTTGTAAAACTTTAACGAATTTTTGATTAACAAACTCAAGGATTTCAAAGCCTGGCAAGAAAAAAACATTTTTATCTCTCGCGCAAGTCTCTGTATCAAAAATTTTAAAGATATGCTCATTTTAAAACTATTTTGCGATATTGCTGTTGAACTGAATTTAATGGTTTAATGAACTGAATTTAATGGTTTAATGAACTGAATTTAATGGTTTAAGTGTGAAGAACGTGATATTTAATAAATAAATGTAACACACAAAATGTTAAAAAAAAGCATCCCTTTGAACATAATTTAAAATCCGAAATATTTCAGATTTTCTTTTATACTTTTTATTATTATTTTTAATTTATTTTATTTTGTAGTTCATCACTTCGGTAATGAAATAGCTTTTTCATTTTATAATTACCTAAACTTTCCAGATGAGGTGGCAAATTTTATTCCGAGTAGTTACATAATGCTGTTTTATATGCAGCCATAAATTACTCTACTTGAATTGTTTAACCAGTTTCCATTGGTTTCAAAATATCTTCAAGCTTTCATTCATTATTAGAGGAAACAATGTATTTTATTAAATTCCAATTCCAAAAATGAATTACTCAGTATTTTTATTATTTTTAATCAGGCTGATAATTTTATCCATTCATTAAACAGCCTATTTTACTTCTTTGATTTTTATATCTTATTCCTACTATCCTATTGAAGTTATATTTTACCAGCTTTATAGAAGGTTACTTCTTAATACTAGCAAATGGAATGTATCATATGAAAAATCTTAAGCTAGAATCGTAGTGTATTACCATGCTATAAAACTAATCCCTTTTAATAATTGCATCAATTTAGATCTAAAAAGGTAAGAAAATCTAGTGTTTTTCATGTCTGGAAAGCGCGAGTAGGATATATATTCAGTTTAGACATAGTAAAAATGGTTCTAACATAGATATTTTGACACGAAATCAGTCTCTTTTTGAAATGGCATACCGATTTTTTTTTCCTCCTATATTTCGATTCTATGACTCAAATTGTGCCTAAATATTAAAAATTTGGTGAGAAACATACGCAGAGATATTTAAAAATTTATCTTAACGCACTTTTCTCAGTATACGTCAAATATATTTCACTTGGCGAAAATTTTCAGTCATGGTAACCTATTTTCCTTTCCCTTTTGTTGTGACAAAAAATATACATTGTTCATTCTTTCATGTAATTAAAATTACATGAAAGAATGAACAACGAAAGTGCGTGCGTAAACCATTTGTCCGTATTATAGCTATTATTATTATTACAACAAATATGCCAAATTTTGAAACGTGCTTATATTTAAATTCACTTGGAAAATTTGTAAATTTTGTGTCTTGGGAAATTTTGTATAAAAAAACTTTTAATTTTTTGTAGGAATACCTAAAAATATAGATGTAAAAAGTTTATAATTCAAAAATTTATTTTAAAAATTTATAAAAATTACAAAAATACAAATTTAAAAAATAAATAGGAAATTATCTGCAAATTTTATTTGGATTGAATCTAAATTGAATCAAATTCTGAAAGAAGGAATCAACTAAGTTAAATAACGAGAGTTATTAATAAATATATACCAAATTAAATTAACCCTGAGGAGCTAAAATTTTGAGAACTAACTAATTTTTTTACAAACTACTCATGCAATTTTTATAAAACTTGCCACTTTGGGATAACCTGAGTTGTAGAATGGAAATGTAAAGAAAAAATCGATATGTTTTAGAAAAGTCCGATTTTGTGTCAAAATACTTACGTTAGGACAATGCTATATAGAAATCTAATGTATAAGTTGAGTCGCAGTTTCGAGATATGAAAAATGTGCAGTTTATCCACACAACAGTGTGTACATTAATTATTAATTTTATTTTCACCATGTATATGAGGAGAAGTTAAAGATATCTTTCCCTAATCCAGAATTTTCTCAGTTAAGAAATTTACGAAACGAAATTAGACAAAAAACATAAAATTCAGAATACCTAATTAAAAATTAATATATTTTATATCAGAGTCATATTGTAAATATTGAGTAACATGAATCAAGTGCTATCAAGCAAATTTAAGTTCTTTTGAAATGCTGCCACTGTGCAGTGTAAAAACCTTCCTGAAACTCCGGATTTTTGGCAAAAGATCTTTGCAGTTTCTCATATTTCGAGGCAGCTATGGGAAAGCGAAGACTGAAAAGAAAAAGATGACATTAAATTTTAAAAAGAGAGAGAGAAATAAAAATTATATCCAGTGGACTCCTAAATTTAAGAATTCGCAAATTAATCTGGGAGTGGTGGTGAGGAATCCTAAATAGGAATAGTATTAAAAAATTAATGTCTTGTGATGAACATGATAGTTCTTGAAAATAGATACTTCATAATTTAAAGGTCTATGAAAAGAGGAAGAGCATTATATTATGCAATGAAATTTTACTTTTATATAAAAAATTATATATTTTTGATTATCAGAATGAAAATTTATATTCTTGAAAATGCATCCTATATTGGAATTAATGCTACTTGCATATTGTTTCTTATAATGTATCATGACATAATTAGCATTTCGCTTGTTTCATCTTGGTAAGAAAATAATAGACTAAGAAATCTCTTAGATTTTGGCTATATTTCTTGTAATCTTGGTAAACTGTTTTTCTAGAATAATAATTTAATTGCAGATTCTGTGAGATAAGTTGAAAATTTGTTATTATATTTCGGCTTTCCAGACAATTACTTGAGTTCTTTCTTTACCACACTTATACCGTATTAATTTCTGTACAGTAGGATGACTTCCGTAGTTAGCAATTTTCTATTACACAGCATTTGAAATCAAAAGCTATTATGTTAAAAATTATACATTAAATAGGAATTTAGTAATGCAGTAAAAGTTTGACTATCCTGCATTCTACTAACTGAACAGCTCAAGTAAACGGAATATTTTTTAGCTTAAAAACTTTTTTAAACATAAAATTTATTAATTAAGAAATTTGTTATTCCATTGTAAAGTCCAAATATGACTACGATTCAAATTTAAAAAAAAAAAATCTCTCACCAATGGCCGAGTGGCAAAAATTGATGAACACCGGTAATTTGGTCCGGCGTTCAAAGTCCTGTAAACAGACTGCCTGCATGGACGTTTTCATGGTTTTCCACATGTATATGAGTGGTTCCCTTAGAAAGCCCTCCACAAAAGCATGAATGTGTCATTTGTTATAGAAATATGCAATATATTTTTTATAATAAAAATACTAATTGAGCTGGGAGGCACTAATTTAGAAGTATTTTGGTTCTCTACCAAAAAAGATAATTTCAAATAGTTTTCTGAATTTTCTAATGCTTTTTGATGCATAACATATCAGAAAATATAAAAATATAATAACATGAATGCATTTTATGGGTATCTTTTCTTTTCCCTCTTTTTTTAAAAAAATTTTGAAATATTTTATAAATCAGTCTGAGTATTTATGAAAGTTATATTCAACAATTTCCTCAATGCAAATTTTAACTGAAACATATTTTCTTTTAAATTTTCTTTTTTTCTTCTATCTCTTTAAAAACTTTTATTTTCTTTTCAGATGTCGATCTGGTTGGGAAGGTGAATTTTGTGATACTTGCATAAGGTATCCTGGATGTATGCATGGCACCTGTTCGCAACCTTGGCAGTGCAACTGTGATGAAGGATGGGGTGGTCTGTTTTGTGATCAAGGTTTGATATTCATACATTATCTTTTGTTAAAGTCTGCTTTGATTTGCTTAGTAATCTTTGGTAACTCCAATTAGGTGAAGCATTATAGTTAATATTTTGGGACTTTCAGTTTTCTCTTTTTTTGGAGGGGGGGGGAAGGGGAGATCTCAGAAGAGTGGAGAAGACTTCCTTTATTTATTTCAATGCCACTTCAAATCCCAAACTAATATTGATGCAAAAACAAGGGAATACATGCACAGGAAGGGGAGAATCAACAAAAGGAATGAATAACAGCAATGGGGGGACAACTCATCATCACTCATTTTCTTACTCATCAGAATTCTTATGAACTGAGACAAGCTACAGAAAATAACAATCAGTTAATGCCATTTTTGTTGCAAATAACTTTTATTTGTGATTATATTTCCCATTTGTATTTTACAACATGTGTGGCAACATGCTTTTTATATTTTTCTCTTGGCAACGTTTTTTTTTTTAGTTGTTGTCACTGTTTTACTTTACCATGTAGAATTTACTGTACTTGTGCCATTTTGTGTTTCAATACATGTTAATTTAGACGAATCTCTGCTTATTTATTTGTCTCCATTCCTAACGTTAGACTTCATCAATTTTGAATGCAGGTACCAAATTATACCTGCTGGAAATAAATAATAATAATAAAAAATAGGTTTCATCACTAAAATGCACTCACTTTCACTGCAGAGTTATCAGTCAGTATCAGCTAACTAAAAAGCACCATGCTTTTTAAAAGATTCTAAATATGATGAATGCTTATTCAAATATTTTACAATATGCAAATTTTCTTATTCAGTTTTTTTAAGATACCAAATAAGTTTTTAAATCTTGCATCTGAGAATTAAATTAAGCAATATATTAAAAATTATTCACTGTAGGATGTATACTTATTTCTTTAAACGTTTGGTCTGAATCTATTACAAGATTTGTCAAAATATGGGTAGAGAATTTTTATAGGAGCCTTTTTAAAAATGTATATGTTTGTAAGAGAAAAAGGGTTCTGTAAGCATAAAATGTAATTCTTCTTGTGGGACCTGCACAGTAAAAGGACCCAGCAGCGGCTGAGGGGTAAAAGTAGCTGAACATTGGTAGTTTGGTCTGGGGTTTGAATCCAAGCAAACAGGCTTCACCTGAATGGGCATTTTCATGGTTTTCCTTGTCCATAATGGGTATACAAGCCGATTTTCCTTAGTAAGTACTTTAGAAAGGCATGTTTTCCTTTAGACAGATGGCCCTAAAGTGCTTTGCCATAGTTAAACCAAACCATTCAGTAAAAATACCATTCAGGTATTTTAATTAAAAGAAAATTCATTAAAAAAATCTGTTTGTCTTTTAATGGGTCAGAAAATGTTACGTAGGTTTATAATATTTTGTATGTGAAAATGGAATTTGATTTTATAATTTATTTCGTTATTTGCTTTTGGCACATTATAAAATACACTCATGTCCATAAATTAAGGATAATGCAAAATCAGGCAAAGGAAGAGTTAGAAGCAAAACAAATTTGACTTATTTGTAAAGCTTATTTATTAAACAAAAGGTAAAGAGCAAAAAAAGATGCTATATGTTTGATATTATTAAAAAAATTAGCGATTTTTTCTCCCTGGAGCAAATTACAAAAAAACCTATTTACAAAAAACCAATATTACATGGTTGGTATGATTGTTAATACATTGTATGTCTCCCAGACGATGCAATACAGTCCATACAACGCCTAGGCATGCTGAGTATCAAATTATTGATATGATCTTGGGGGATATTACACCACTCAAAAAGCAATGCTCTCCGAAGTTTCGGTAGACATGTAGGAGGAGGTTGACGGGCTGCAACTCATCGGCCAAGCATGTCCCACACGTGCTCTACTGGATTCAAGTCCAGTGAGAATGCTGGCCAGTCCATACGGGTGATATCCTCCGATTGAAAGCATTCGCTTACGATGTTTGAACGGTGAGGACGGGCGTTGTCATCCATAAACACAAATTGTGCGCCCATGGCGCCCCGAAACAAACGTACATGTTGTTCCAGAATGACGTCCTGATAGATTTGCCTTGTCATGGTTCAAATTTGAACATGAAGGTCAGTTCTGGAACCCAGAATAATTTCACCCCAAATGAGCATTCCTGCACCAGCATAACGGTGTCGTTCAATGATGTTTTCTTGGTGGTAACGGGTTCCTGGAGCTCTCCATATGAAAGTCCGCTGAGAATCAGACCAAGCTAAACTTAAGACTCATCGAAAAACATCATACAAGCCCACTGTTGCGGTGTCCACTATGCATGCTCTCTACTCTAAGCTAACTGCAGGTGACAGTGAGTTGCAGTAAGTGGAACGCACCTGACAGGTCTACGAGCATATAGACCAATCTGCCCTAAGCGTCTGTACACGGTCTGCCTTGAAATTGTCGTACCAGTGGCTGAAGAGAGTTGACGAGACAGGTCTGAGGCTGTGCTCCGCCTGTTTCTTTTGGCAGTAACTGCCAAATACCGGTCCTCATTCGGTGTTGTAACTCTGGGGCGACCTGTGCTGTAACGTCTTTTCACATTACCCTCATCTTGAATCATTGCCAAAGCCTGGAGATGACACTCTGGGCAATTCCAAGTTCGTCTGATACTTCCAGTTGGGTACTCCCACATTCCAGACAGCTGATAATTCTACCACGTAAAAAATCATCCAAATGCATCCTTTGTGTCATAACTATTCGGTTATTGCACTGAAATGCTTATAAAGCACTTGCGAACAATTTTACTTCTTTACCTGTATTCCTTATATATCACTCTCTTACACTCTCGTCCTTGTAACGTGCCATCGGTGTCATCTGGTTACTTTCTGAAATTTGCATATGATTCTTGAAGATGTGTGTAGTGATTTTACAGGTGATATATTTATTTTAGAGTTTGATTTCCGCGTGAATCCGAATTATCCTTAATTTATGGACATGAGTGTATATTCACAATTTAAGACTTTACTGGAATTTTGTAATAATTTTTACTGGGACAAAAAAGCATTACATTCAAAAGTCGTTAATTCGGACACCCATAATTCAGAATGATCTATAATCCGGACCTCAAAGCTACAAACTTTCTGCGCATGCGTCGCATTGACGCAGCGGTAAGACCTTTACCGCTGCGAATTTGCGTGTGCGCGTGCGCAAAATACGTTTACGAATGCGCGTTTAATGTATAACGGACGGGATAAGCTAAGCTAAAATTATCTAATTATCTATTTCAGTTAATGTTGCAGATTGCGTTGTTCCTTAATCTTCGAATTGGATCCGGATTATTATTTTTTGCAGACTGTTAGAGCAATTTTATAAAAGTAAGCTTGAACTTTCGATTATGTCAAATAGAATTTCCGATATATATTTACTAATATCTAAAGGATATACAAAGCGAAAGTATCTTTCGAGTCCATTAAACAAAAATGGAATTGCTGCAAAAAATGGATAAAGGCATATTCTTTGTTATCTAAACTTAAACGTTTGTTTATCTAACTTGTTTATCTTTAACGCTGCGGCGGCGTTGCAATGAATTGGAAGTTGATTTTATCAGCACTATCCTTATCTTAAGGGCAGATGCTTTTATTTTATTTGGCTTATAATTGCTTACTCAAATGTAGTATTTCATCTCAATGTACTCCGTCTTTGATATGATTTAAAATCAAATTCCTCGTCATTATAATTCGCTTCCGATAGTGAAGTGAAGTGAATGGTTATTGAAAACGAAAAAATTTCGATTGAGAAATTAGTCGGTATTCTCGATACAGCAATTATAGGACTTGAACAGCGAAACTTTGTAACTGAACAAGAAATTATGTCTGTTTATAGAATTAAAGAGAATGTATTATCACATAAAAAACGAAGCACTGAAACAACTTACATTGAAAGAAATGTTTAATAAAAGTAAACCAATAAATATTAAGCTTTTCTTTTGTCAATTTTGATACCCTTTAGATCATAATTGTTCTTTATTTCATAAATTACGGTTTTCATATTTTTACTTTTATAATTTCTGCATGCCATTTTACCAGATTTAAACTGATGATCTATAATCCGGAAAAATCGATAATCCGGAATCGCCGAAGTCCCGACGAGTCCGGATTAACGACTTTTGACTGTATTTAGCTTCTGTGTATTAAATAGGTATTAAGAATTAAAACTAGTATGCAGCAGTATGTTTGTTTTCATTTTGTGCTGCATATAATTAATTACCGATTTTGTAAATTTGTATTCAGTTATTACCACTATACCTGTTTTTCTTTCTTTTTTGAGCATGAATTTATATACTATTTTGCCTTTTTTATAGATCTCAATTATTGTACAAACCATAAACCTTGTCAGAATGGTGGTACATGTACAAATACTGGCCAAGGGTCATATACATGTAGTTGCACTGAGGAATTTATGGGAGAAAGATGTGAGATTCTTCAGAATCCATGTAAAAAGAACCCTTGCCAAAATAATGGCACTTGTGAGGTACGATTTTTACTAATATTTTTATTTAAGACTTTTTAAAATAAGAAACTGAATTTTTTCAAATGTGTGCTGCAGAGAAAAACCTAGTTATGCTTTTTAATGTATGAACCACAAGTTGAAAAAGTAAAATAAAAATTGAAAAAAAATTTTTTTTTATGAAAACTATACAAAGAACTCTTGAAATGAATTTTTGACAACAGTAATCAGATCTGGTTCATTTAAAAAAAATTCAGTATAGAGTAGCAGTAAAATTACTGCAATTTTACTGCTTTAGAAAGTGTGAGATATTAAACTTAATGAATTAGACATGTTGTTATGTGTTTTCTTTAGCAGAAGTAGAATATTTGGTTTTAAAAATAAGAATTCATTATTTGTCTGGAATACAGCAGTTAGTAAAGTTTAACGAAGCCTTTTAGTATTCCTTCCAGAAAATATTTCTAAGCTAGTTAAAGGAACAATACCATATCTAAAATATCTAGCCTAAAACTTGATACATACTAATACTGCATGACAACTATTGGGCTTTATATGATATTTCCTAAAAGTTAATTTTTAATTGTTCAAATTCCTAGAAACTCTTTCAAATACAGCGTGTTTCAAAAAGAATATATGTATTTCGAATGCATGTATTTATTAAAAAGTATGACATATGAATATGAAACTTTACACACATATGTACGAACCTCTCAAGTTCAGATTACAGATGTTACAAATGTTCAATATGCCGCCCTCCATTAGCGACACGAACAATATCACATCGATATTCAAATTCCTCCCGTACTCGGCAAGTATGTCCGTCGCCACTGATGTTATGGCAGTACGGATCTGGTTCTCAACCTCTTCCAGGTTCTGTGGGAGTGGTGGTACATAAATGTTGTCTTTAATGAAACCCCACAGGAAGAAGTCAATAGGGTGTCAAATCCAGTGACCATGGAGGCCTGCTGAGACATGCTAAGTCGCCAGCTCCTTGACAACCAATTCAACGGTTCGGTAGAGTTTCATTCAGATAATTACGCACTTGGTGAGACCAGTGAGGGGGGTGCCCCGTCTTGTTGAAAAATGAAGTTGTCTTCATGCAGCCTCGGAAACAACCAGTTTTGCAGCATAGCGAGATACTGTTGATCATTAACCATGTTTCATCAAAGAAGAATGGGCCGTAAACAGATGACCAGGATATCGCACAAAACACATTGATTTTGGCTGAATCTCGTACATGTTCAATGGCTGCATGTGGGTTCTGTAGGCCCCAAATTCAAACATCGTGTTTGTTTGTATGACCACTAACATGAAAAGTTGCTCCATCACTGAACACGATGCATTGTGCAAAAGTGTTATTGTTGTCAATAGCATCAATAATCTCATTACAAAATGTCACACGTTTGCATTTGTCATCAGGACGCAGAGCCTGTAACATATGTAACTTGTACGGCTTCATAACGAACTGACATCTCAAAACACGCAAAATTGTTGTTGTAGGCAGTTGTAACTCCTGACTGGCACGACGAGTTGATTTTGAAGGACTATGTTGAAAAGCAGTTTGAATTCGTGCAACATTTTTGTCGGGAACAAAAGGACGACCACAACTCTTTCCTTTACATACACATCTTATATTTACAAACTGTCGATACCATTTGTGAACGTTCCACCCATTTAGAGGATCACTTTGGTACCTCAGTTTGAAACATCTTTGCACTGTAATCATGGAATTGCACTTCACAAACTCAAGAACACAAAATTATTTCTTCTGCGGAATAGCCATTTTAAACATGTGATGGTTACCATGCAAAACAAAAGACAACTGACATCTAGCGGCTATTAATATAAACTAGACTATGTATTCGTTTTACCAATAGCTGAACCGAGGCGTAATGATTGATAGTTTGGACAAAATAACACTTTGTAATACGTATATTCTTTTTGAAACATGGAACATCAAATTACTGATTAACAATTTTTCCAGTTTAGCAGTCATTCTTTTTAATATTTTGTAATGGAACATAAAGTTGCATTCATTTCAAAACAGACTTTCAAAAAGTTCTTTTAAAATTAATATTTGTAATTAACAAAATATTATACATTATTTTGTGTATACTTCTAAAGCATTTTTCATTACTTGAAAATGCTATTACATTTTATAATCAGTAGTTTATTATTAAATAAATTCTTCACAAATTTAAGAAAATATCAGATTATTATATTTTAATATTATATCAAAAATATGACATTGAATAATGCATAACATATGATAAAATTTTAAATTATGCATAACAGTATAGAAAAATATTATTTTGAGAGGACTGGTAATTTCCAGAGGAAAATGATCCATACTGAAAGCTAAGTAGTAAATTCCCCTCCTTTTTTTTAAATTACAAAACTTTAACCAAAAAAACAAACTTTAACCATTAATTTAAATTTGCACTAACTGCTTTTATAAAACTGTTTATAAAATTCTGTGCCACTAAAATGGTATGTGGGATTTATCTTTAATGTGATATACCATCATAATATATCATAACATTTAATGCAATATGCCATTATAATATCATTTGTATTATCATGTCATTAATAATGAACATTTTATAAATACCATTTTACAACACAAAAATGTTTACTTGATATATTATTTTGTAACGTTAAAGATTTTCCTGAAAAGCGGTTTTTGAAATTTACACCGAGTTATATATTAATGTTAATCTTATTCATTTATTTATTCTTTTTGAAGGAATGTTTAAAATTTCTTCCTCTTTTACATATATATTTTTATTTATTTTTACAACAAACATAATCCATTTAAACACTTTTCAGTTGTGCCATTTAGCATATAACTTCTAGATATTTTTAGATTTTTAAATAGTAATTCCAACATAACCATAACAGATTTATGTCTCTTTATCCAATAAGTAGGACATTTCTTCAGAGATTCTCATCTTGAAGGTGGGCACAAATTTGATACATCTTCTTGCAAAATAGTTTCTTTTTGGTGCATTCATAATAGAATAACAATTCCTATCACTACTATGCAATACTATCATTTTAAGAATTGCATTAGAAATTGCCAGATAGAGGGAGAAAATGAGAAGCACAATTCACACAGAGTACTGAAGGAAATTTTTCTCTTACTTTTAGCTTGTATGCCCTTGAATATCTCTGACATGGTTACAATACTAATTTATTGTCACAGCTGATGTATTTCAAATCTAAGCATATTGATATTAAATTATATATAATGGCATTAGCCAAATCTTTTCTGCCTATCAACACTATACGTGCAGATTGTAAAACATTTCTTATTAAAATAATTCCCAATTTCTTGTACATATCTTATATAGAGGCTTGCTCTTCTGAAGAAAGGTCTGCAGTTTCATCAGCTATAACTGAAAAGCATTTGTTGCATTCACTTTTTAAACATTTTCCAAAATATATTGCAAGCATTTACGACTTCATTTTGCATTTTTGGGTGAAATATACATTGCATTATACAGGAAGGTTTCTTTTTAATATATCATTTCCTGCATTTACTCAAAATCTGATAATCTGGCAAAGGTTCCTTCATTTTTATGACATTCAACATTACCTTAATATATGTTTATTTGTCCAGAATCAAAATAGAGATACTTCTTCCACAGAAGATCATACTTTTTATTACAGGAATAAACATTCTTTTATTATCAGCTTGTTGAACACTGGTGATATCAATTGTATCAACAATGCATTCTTCATGGTCAAGAATGACGTTTTTTAAATTACACACATGGTAAAGAATGTTCATTCAGGGAATTTTTCATAGATTTTAGATTTTCTCCAGCTGCAAAATGGCTCATTCAGTATTTATCCTAAAGCTTGATTCTTTAATTGGTCTGCATATCCCTTGGTTCCATCTTTAATCTTTAATTTTGTAATAAGACAGTCAAGGATATTCAAATAACAGGGTATTTTTAAATTTTCTAATAACTTTATTGTCAAATGAAGAACTTGGAAATAATGTACTTTGGTGTTGGATCCCAAGAATTTTAAATTGTCAGTTAATTTATAAAATTTCCTATTTCATCTTGGAGAGGGATTTGAATTTCAGGTAAAGGGTTCACATAGATTTCTGAAGTAGAATCAAAAGTACTTGTGAAAATAGAGCTTTGAAGATGAATTTCACTTTGAGCTTGCTGTTGAGTATTAGCATCCATCAATTTGTATGCAGTACTTCTGCATTTCATTTTTCAACTCAGCTTCATGACAACAGTTTTTAAGATAATTTAAGAGGGAATGTTGTCTCCTATTACTAATTTTCAAATTAATGAACCAACCCGGATTTCTTAAGTATGTCACTCTGTTTGGATTGTTCAATTCTAAGATTAATAATGATTAGTATCATTGACTTGTATTACTCTTAACTCCACAGTTTAAGAATAGTTTGAGCATAGAGTCTAAGTCTAAAGAAAAGATGAAATGATTGTGCTCATTTTAGAAAATTCCCACCTGATTTTCGGAAATGTTGTAAAATGAATGGCAGGAAATAGGCTAAAGAAATAGCCAATACCATTTCTCTAAGGATAGCCTAATATTTTCTTTTCAGTAGCATATGGGATGAGAGAAATGGAAGCATTGCTGAAGCTTGGGTTCTAAAGGAACGCAAATGCCTTTTTCTTAACTTTTTGTTTTCAAGGGCTAATTTGGCAAACGATATCTCATGCAGAGCTGGGAGCTTGACTTAATGGTGTGCTGCCAAACCATAGCTAGCTGTCAATGGTCCTCTAATATATTTTAGATTTGGATGGGAATTTAGATAAAACTGATGCACCCTATCATATTCTTGGATCGTTTAATCTTGACCATTACAATAGGCATGTAGTGTTTAGTGAATAATAATGACCTTATGAATCTTATCAGAGATCACATATGCCCATGAACAAAACGGGCATATGTGATCTCTGATAAGAGAAAATCCAAAAAGATTTCCTTCAACAATAATACCAAAATTAAAAAATAATATTACCTTTAATTTTTAAAAAGTTTTTACACAAAAAAACAATTTGGGGGTGCATATGGCTGTTTACACCCCCTTCCCCAGGTATGCCTTTGCTTTCTGGATATTTTTTTTTTTTTTTTTTTTTTTTTTAATGAGACTTAAATGTTTACAAAGAATATCATTGTACATTGCACATGAAAATCATGATATATAATTATTGAGTTTTGAGCACCTAAGAAAATTTTATTTTTTTAAAATTTCCTATTCACTTTATTTTCTGCTCATTTTAAATGGTAAAATATTTTCTGTAATTAATTTTAAACTTTCAGATCGTTTAAGCAACAAATATTAATTTTGCTCTTAAAATGTTAGCTATTATTTTGTATTTTAATTTTTGGCTACAGATTATTTTCTTGATTTGAACATTATTTTGAGAGTGTGTCACATCCTTTTACATATCGACATCTTAAAATAAAGTATGTTTCTTCTGCTTATATTCATTGCAACATATTATGTTATAATGTTTATTGTAACATAGCACTGCAACATAGTACAGTACAAAGTCTGAGATCTGGATTCAGTAGGACTTCAGTAATTCTGGATTTGGAATTTTTTCAGTTAGTAGATCATCAGTTTAAATCCAGTAAGATGACATGAAGAAATTATAAAACTAAAAGCATAAAATATTTACTTATGAAATAATGAAGCATTCATGATCGTAAAATAATTGAAATTTATATTTAAAAAAAGCTTCTTTTCATTTGTTTGCTTTATCAAACATTTCTTTCGATGTAAATTGTTTAATTTGCTTCACTTTATTGCTTAAACTTTATCTCTACAGATAGATATAATTTCTTATTCAGTTACAAAGTTCCAATCGAAATTTTTCGTTTTCAGCAACCTGTCACTTTCTTCACTATGGGTAGTGATATCTTCTGGATTTAAAAGTGTGACCAAGTGATATCTTCTGGATGGCAAAATCTGGTACTACAGATTTTTCCATTGGTTAGTTGATTAATGGCTGGGACGTTGTCACTGCAATGGAAAACTTCTTTTATATAATTTTTGGTATCTCTTTGGAGATGCTGGTTCAAAAAAATGGAATTATACCACACTGAGATGAACGATAATCCTTTTATTTCTCCCAGAAAACTCCAAGTTACATGGTACTCTTCCTCTAACTTTATATCCCTTGTAACAGCTACTTACCACAGTGGGATTTGCATTTCACTCAATGTTCCAAACAAGCAGTATCCCTGGCAGCCTTTGTTTATTCTCCTCTTTCACTGCAGGTTTTGCCTGCTCCTCACTTCAGTGCTTTTTTGTAACTCTATGTAGCAAAAAATTCACTGATGTCACTGTTTGTGACTTAACATATTTCCCCCTTGAATCTAATATGTTCAATGAAAAGAAACGTTAATTAGTTACAGTAAATCACAGCTCAATTTATAACTCCACGTAAGCATAAAAGTTTAGCAGTTATAGCTGAGACATTCTAATATTATTCTCAAGAGGCAAAATCCAAATCTTTGAAGTGCCTCTTTTAAATATGCAATGTTCTGTCATCACACTTACTACTTGTAATTTGTTGCCATTTCCTGGAAAAATATCTACCTCTCTTCCCAGTAACCAGCTACGAACTGGCATATTATCTTCCTTAATGATAACTAACGCAATACTAATAGTGACAAATAATGTAATAATAGCAGCAGAGCTAATAGATGCAATCACTAGTGATGCATAAGATGTGGATAATAGTTGCAAAGTCGATTATAGTCTTTTTGTGTTGCTAGTTGATAATAGTTGCAAAGCATCTGCTCATGAAGAAAGCACAAGTGAGATGAGAGAGTGTTGCAGTAGTAATGCAAGCGAAGAAGGGAGGGAGGCAAAACTTTCAGTTTTAAGTTTTGATTTAGAATTTGGTGATTGGTCAAGAGGCATCTGTGTTAAGTGTTATGTAAAATTGCATGATTAATTTGAATGACGCAGTCCAGACCCATAGCACCATTTTTAAGACAGAGAAAGGAAGTCCCAAAATTAAATAAGAAATAAAAGATGTTATAGACAAATAAAATTTAGAAGTTTGTTTTCATATTTTTATCTTACATATACAGTCAAAAGTCGTTAATCCGGACTCGTCGGGACTTCGACGATTCCGGATCGATTTTTCCGGATTATAGATCATCAGTTTAAATCTCGTAAGATGGCATGCAGAAATTCTAAAATTAAAAATATGAAAACCGTAATTTATGAAATAAAGAACAATTATAATCTAAAGGGTATCAAAATTTACAAAAAAAAAAAAAGCTTAATTTTTTGTTTACTTTATTAAACATTTCTTCAATGTAAGTTGTTTAAGTTGCTTGCGTTTTAATGTGATAATACTTTCTCTTTAATTCTATAAAACAGACATAATTTCTTGTTGAGTTACAAAGTTCCGCTGTTTCAAGTCCCATAATTTCGTGCCGAGAATACGACTAACTTGTCAATCGAAATTTTTCGTTTTCACTAACCTCTCTGTCATCATCTTCATGTCTTTATCCATTTTTTTGCAGCAATTCCACTTTTTGTTTGAGGACATCGAAACATACTTTCGTTTTGTAGATCCTTTGGGAGCTCAGCATCGGAAATTCTATTTGACATAATCGAAAGTTCAAGTTTACTTTTATAAAATTGCTCTTACAGTCTGCAAAAAATATAAGCCCATCCAATTCGAAGATTAAGGAACAACACAATCATCAACATTACTGAAATAGATAATTAGATAATTTTAGCTTATACCGTCCGTTATACATTAAACGCGCACGGCGAAAACGTATTCTGCACTTGCGCCAGCAATGCGCATATGCGCATCGTCCTTACGCGTGCATGTGTCAATACGGCGCGTGTTCTGAAAGTTTTTAGCTTTGAGGTCCGGATTATAGATCATTCCGGATTATGTGTGTCCGAATTAACAACTTTTGACTTAAATTTTACAGTAATATGAATTTCACTTAATAATGAAAGACATTATTTATTGGGTTCAAAATATTATTTGTAGTGTATTCGACTGCTAGATTTTAAAATTAATTTTTGTTATGCATAAATCAATTCGTCTCTTCTTAGATGTTTAATTGATAAAAAATGGTAGAAAAATGTTCTAAGGAAAATTAGAAAAATATAATCTCTCACATTGTTAAAAGAAAATATATATGTATTATGATATATACTATAATTAACACTTTCATATCCAATGTATTCTAGCCTCAACTTTTGAAATACCATAGAGTATATTTATTGCAAGAAGTATTGTATAATTGCTTTGGAGAAGAATAGTTTTTACTCAATTTGATATTTTTCTAATCTATTCTTTTTAAAGATACATATATTTTAATTACTTCGCAATAAGAGTAAGAGGATTGGAGATATTGAAAATTTCAGCTATTATATTTATAGTTTAAATGTATACAATTTTTAAGTTACTCATACTTAATTTATTATTTTAATACTTGATTAATACTTAATTTAATGCTTTATATAATACTTAATGTTAATGCTTAATTTATTATTCATCACTTATGGTCAAGAAAATTGTTCAATCTGATCACAGAGCATGGGTCAATTAAAAACTGAATTTCAACAAGATCTCTGCTTTATTTAGCATATTTCATTTAAATATCGATATCAAAATAAATATATTTAGTCCTTTCTTTTGATATCTTCTGAGTAATTAGACTATTTCATAAAAATGCTGCTGAAAAAGGGATTAGCAATAGCTGTCAACTTTCTATTATATCTTAACCATTGTTTTATGTATTGTTTTCAGGATCATATGCATTTCAGAATTTAAATTTAGATGCTCTAATTTTTTAGAATCCAAGTGCAGGGAACTATTCCTGCAAATGCAGTCCTGGTTTTTTTGGAATTCGCTGCGAAACATCTGCTAATATATGTACAGAAAATCCTTGTGAGAATGGAGGTTCCTGTATTCATGACCCTGGAGGTTTTATTTGTTCCTGCCTAGCTGGCTACACAGGACCTCATTGTGAAAATGTTGAAGTATCTTCATGTAAAGATGGTCAATGTTTAAATGGTAGGTTTAATCTTATATTAAATTAAATGAAAAATATCAGCCAACTTTAAAAAAAATGTGAACTATTAACTTGATTAAAATGATTTTCAGTTTACTTCCATTTTATTTGTGACTAAATATGTAAACCTTTCTAATGAAACAAAATTAAATAACTGCTTATTGCTCATATTTCCTAAAAAAAATCTTAAATAAGTTGGAATTAATTTTAAAATTTAATTTTGTTGAAACATTCAAAAAAGTATTTGCTATGGTTTAAAATAAGAGCATAACTTTTGAATACATTACATTCACTTCTTTTGGTGTTTAAAAAAAAAAAGGAAACATAAATTTGAAAATTGGTATAAAAATTATCAACAAATGCAAATATATTTTCAGTGATTTATAATAACTCATAATATTTGAAATCAAGCTTTTTAAGGCAGTGTTTTTAATTGATCTTGTATACATACACATCATATGTTTTGTTGTTTAAAAAACTGATATGATATTTTTTATTAAAATTATCAAAGAAATGATTAGCTTAAAATGTTTATTCAGTTCATACATAACAATATTATGAATTTAATCATGCAGTCTAATATGCTTGATTTTTATCCTAATGTATAGTGAACTTATTATAGAAATAACAAGAAATTCTTTTTTCATTGTAATAACATGATTTAAATTCTTTGTGTGGATAATGTGCCACGAAATGTCTGTTTTGGATGTTTTAGCACAATTTAAAAATTAATATATTTTAATGAGGCAGGTTTAAATATTAATTTTTAATGACTTCTATTCTGCATTTAGGTGGTACCTGCATTGATCTTCAAAATGGTGCTCATTGTAAATGTCCTCAGGGTCTTTCAGGAAAATACTGCGAGATCATACTCACTTGTTCCTCAAATATATGCAAGAATGGTGGCACATGTACTGAATATTCAGGAACTGTTATGTGTGACTGCCCTTCTGGCTTTTCAGGCACATTTTGTCAAAATGGACAGAGCAGCTGTTCTTCAAAACCTTGTGCCAATGGAGGTGTATGTCAAGATACTAAAGATGGCTATAACTGTGATTGCAAACCTGGTTTTAGTGGGAAAGACTGCACTGTTTCAAATGACTCTTGCAACCCTCAAACATGTTTGAATGGTGCCCTGTGCCATGTCACAGCAAATGGTTTTATGTGCCACTGTCCCAGTGGTTATCGAGGTAATCGATGCCAAATAAAAGAGGGCAGTATTCTTCAGGCAAACTGGAATGAGCAGCCATCTGTAGCCTCAAATGTGTCTCATAGAGTGTCAGAAGAGCAAGAAAAGTTTCAACTCAGTGGAAAGCAAGTGGCTGTTATTGCCAGCTTATGTTCTGTTTTTGTTATTCTTATTATTGTGTTATCCTTCTGTGTGATTTTCTGTGTCTTACGGAAACGCAAACGTCAGCGTCATGCGGAAGAAACTCAAAGAGCCAAAGAATATGACTTTGATTTGGAGGATGAGCAATTACAGAATGAGCGTAATGCAATGCACATGAACAATAAGCAGTGTAATATGCCTCAAAAAATTGTGAATGCCTTGGACAGAGTGCCTGCCAAAGTATCCAATGAGGCTCCTCCTAAAGTGCTTAACAGTGAAGTGAATAACAAAAAAGTGCCAGACAAAAGTTTGGTTTGCACTCCAAGAACTTTACAAAAGAAAGATATCTTAAGTGATAGTTCAATCGGGTAAGCATAAAAGAAACATATTCAGTTATTTTAACAAACTCTGCTTATTTATTGGATTGAATTTCATTGTTTCATAATTTTATGTGTAAATCTATTTTTTTCCCACAAAACTAAATTCTTCAAATTACAAAAGTGTTCAAATGACAGTAGTTCTGAATTACATATATGACATTTCTTGACTTTTCTGAATATTAAGTCATATTTTTAATAGGTTAGCTGAAAGAGAGATTTTTGGAATGATTTATATTTTTAAATTGAAGCAACATTACTGTTTCGAATACAGGAAAATTGTAGTAATGTATTTATGTAACTATGAAACTAAATAATTGTATGCAGTTCAACAGTAACTAAAAATACATTCATCAAAAATTAATTCAGTAAATAGAAATAGGTATTGTATGTACTTTAAAAATGTTAACCATTTTCTTTTGCGAATCTAACAAGCATTCATTTGTTAGTTGCCTGAGAAGAAAATGCAGTTAAAACACTGACTGGCATCTCTTTATTAACTTCTATTTATCATATGTTAGTTTATGTAACTTTAGAAGGACAAACTTAATCAATGTACTCATAATAATTTTTATACTTAAGCAGTATTCATATAATTTCCTTATATTATGAATATATAGGATGCTTCAAACTACAGTGCCTCAAAAAATCAGCAATTATTTGTAACCTACTTTCTATGCATAACCATGACAAGTATTTTACAGCATGCTTCTACCTGTAGAAATCATAGAAATATCATCCATTGCTAAGACATACTTAAATGAGACATTTAATACACTGACTACCAATAAGTATTTGGACACCTATGCAAATGACGATATCTGCGGTCCTAAGGTACGTCACGGACTCCGCCGGTATATATCGTGTAGGAAACAGCATCGGCTTTAGTCGCATGCAAGATGCCTCGCAGCTCGGAGCTCTCTGATTTCGAGAAATAATTATCGGGTGGCCGATCCTTAAGGGACATATCTAGCGATCTGAAGTACCCAAAATCGACAGTGGCCTATGTGATTAAGAAGTGGAAGGTGAGCGGTGATTGTCGGAATGTGCCCCGAGTCGGCAGACCAACGAAACTGGGAGATAGAGACCAACGAGTGCTGTCCAGAGAAATTCGGAAGAAACCGCACCCAACTGATGGCCCTCATCCACGAGGAGTTTCAGCAGGCATCCGGGAGTATTGTTTCAATGAATACCATCCATAAGGAAGCACATCTGCTTGGTTTTCATGATCGTGCTGCTGCCCATAAGCCTTTGATCACAAAGTCTAACCACGCTGCTCGGTTAATGTGGTGCAAAGCACATCGAAATTGGATCGTAGATCAGTGGAAACGGGTTCTTTGGAGTGGCGAATCAAGGTTCACCCTTTACCATTTGGATGGCAGGGTCTGGGTCTGGCGTCTACCTGGAGAACATCTCCTACCAGAATGCATTGTGCGAACAGTCAAGTTTGGCGGAGGTGGAATTATGGTCTGGGGGTGTTTCTCCTGGTATGGGCTGGGACCCTTGGTCCCCATTCATGGTAAGCTCAACTCCGATGCCTACTGCACTATTTTGGATGACAATGTGCTTCCTACGTTGTGGCAGTTTTACGAGTTGGACCCCTGTTACTTTCAGGACGACAATGCCAGTTGTCATGTTTCGACGTTAACCAAGGCTTGGTATGGTGCCAATGGAGTTCATCGAATGGACTGGCCTGACCAGAGTCCCGACCTGAACCCTATCGAGAACCTCTGGGATGAGTTACATCGCCGAATTCAGGGGTGTACTATCCGTGCAAAATCGGTGAAGGAACTTCTATGTCTTCTCCAAGCCGAATGGAAGAAAATACCACTAGCTGTCATACAAAGACTTGTGGAAAGTATGCCCCGGAGGGTCCACGCTGTAATTACCTCTCGTGGAGGCTCTACCAACTATTGATTTTGAATAAAGTTAGTTTTTCTTTTCTATCACAGGTGTCCAAATACTTATTGGTAGTCAGTGTATAATAAAAGGTTGTCTGCAACATGTCTTCATTAGTCTTGCAGATTGTTCCATTGATACTAAAACATACTTGAATAAGACACTTAATATTATAAAAGGCTGTCTGCAGCATGTCCGTGGTAGACTGCATCATTGATCTTTGTTTCAATGTTGCTTTTCAAATCTTCAAAAACGTGTGTTATGTTTGTAAGTACACTTACTTTCGAGATGAAAAATTAAATCATAAACTAGATGGCTATAAATATTTGGATATAATAAGTAACCACAGGAGAAAAAATTTCATTGAAATTCAAGGAGGTTACTTGGTTTGTCTTTTGCCAAGTCATCAATGATATTCTAGAAATTTGATTCCCCTTTGAATTTTTTCTTATTTATATCATTCTGATCATAATTTAACTGACAATTATATTTTTTATTCAAAAGTTTGATGGAGTAATAAAAGCATAACAAGAACATGAAGCTGTTAAAATCTGTTTGTAATTTCTTTAAATGTTGTTGAGTGTAAAAACAGTTTTCTCCTTAATTCACTTTCATATGGCAACTCAGCATCTCTTGATTCTTTATCTCACCTATGGCCAAATGGCTATAACCATTGAATACTGGTAGTTCGACTTGGGGTCAAATCCTAAAGAATGAGTTCATGCTTTTACATCTTTGTAGTTTATGAATAATGAAGGGTATGTAAGGTTGTATTCATAAATGTATGACATGACTATGAAGCAGTGTCCCTTTCATAATGTATGAATATGCATTAGATTCCAGTTTTTTAGCCCTTTGGTAACTGTAGTGAGTTCTGCTGTAATCCAATAAATCCCAGTCTTTCTTTCTGCTTCAAAGATCTAACTGAATATCAACCCCATTTTATGTTTCACATGAAAAATGCCACTCTAAAAAAATTTCCTGCATGGAATGGACTGCTCCCTTCCCTTCTCCATCTACACTCATTTTATTCCATCCTACTGAAAAAAAAACCCTTTTCAAAAATCTCCACTAGTTCCTTTTATGAACTGTTGCAGGAACACCCTGTCAACCTTAGTATATGTAGCCATCCTGACTGAAATTGAGTAACTCCATGAAACATATACATTTTGATCCATATCAAAATAATAGTGTTGAAAGACACAGGACAACTTACTGAATACCTGTGGGCATATTTGTATTGCTTAAAAACAAAACAGCTTAGTTTTTATGCAGAGTCGGGCAAAGCGCAGACCTAATTCCTTGAGGGAGCTACATGATGAAACACCAAGCTGTACCTACATATTTTTTCTTCTGAGGCAAAGAGGTTAATGTGTATCCTATATCCAGTATTTGGGGGGGAGGAAGGAGAAAAGGAAATATATATGTATAAAAAATGATAAATTCAAAGTAATATATTAAAATATAGATTGGTATATATGTACATAACTCTGCATAATTATATAGATATTTTAAACATGCATTATTGCATACATATCTCTAAATATACCTATAAAAATAAATGTGTAAAAAATATGTACCGTATATACCCGCATATAAGTCGACTCCCCCCCCCCACTTCGACATAAAAAATTCCTAGAAAATAAGAAACCCGTGTATAAGTCGACCCCCCCCACCACCACCACTTCCAAAATCAATCGAGAAACTTCAGAAAAATTTTTTTAAATACTACGTTTATTCAAAATTATCTGAGGAAAAAAGTAAATATACGATAAAAAATACTTTAGTAAATAAACAAAATCAAAATCCTTCAACATCCGATTCATGGTCAGATTCACCAAACATTTCATAAAACTCTTCTGTCGTCATTGGCTCGTCATCATACATATTTTCAGTCTCGAACTCTGTATTGTTACAATCACTACTAGAGCCTTCGTCATCATTTTCACTTTCAAAAACAGCATCATCTTCCGTGCCGTCTAGTTCGTTGCTAATACAAACATTTTTTAAATGATTTATAATCATTTCAGAGGGTATTTCGTTCCAAGCATCTTTAACCCACTGAGCAAATTAATGTAATATCGGGCTTTTTAATGTTGCCTCCCTTTGTAAATGTTGGTCGACCGGAACTAATCCACTCTGCCCAATATTTTCTAACATTTACTTTGAAGGGCTTATTGAGGCAGACATCTAGGGGTTGAATGACGGATGTCAATCCTCCCGGAATTACGGCAACAGTCGTTTTTAGGTGTTTAGTCAACTTTTGTCACTTCTTCAGAAAAGTGTCCACGAAAAGAATCGTATGCTAATCGTAAAAGAGAAGGTTTTTTGAAAGCTTCTCCCAGTCTTTTATCCCACACATTTTTAAGCCAATCGACTGTTCCGTCAGCATCCATCCATCCCTTTTCATGGGCACGAACCAGCACACCTGATGGAAACACAAAGTTTTTCGGTAAAGTTTTTCTTTTAAAAATGGTCAACGGACGATCTTTAAAAATGACTATCTGCATTTCTCTTTTCTTAGCGTGTTGGCAAAACTTTTTTATTGCTCGTTATTGATCGGTGGTTTGGGGGTCGAAAATTCCTTGGTTTAATCGAAACTTACTCTAGTTAAAGTATGAAACTCTGTGATTAGTTTGTCACATAATTTAAGTCATGAAATTACTTCAAGTAAGTGACTTATTTGATAAGTCGTCCAATTTGAGCGCGGGAAGAAAACAACTGCATTATATAAAGAAATTTTTGAACTTCCGATTCTTTAAATTTTTTATGGCCCCCTGTATAAGTCGACACCCCCACTTTGAAGTCTTTTTTTTGTCCAAAATATCGACTTATACGCGGGTATATACGGTAAATCAAAATACTAACTTCATTCATTTCTATATTCATTTTGACTCTTTTCCTTTCAAAAAATAGCATTAATAATAAATCATTAATTATTAATTAATAACAAATTTTTCATATTTCTAATATCTCTTTCAATATATATATATATATAGCCTCAAACATATGGCAATTTCTTTTTACAATTGAAATTTTGTTATTCATGATTTAATTCAAGTCCCCGTTAAACATTTTTAATAATTTACATTCAAGTTACTTTAAAACAATTTCCGGAATTAAACTTACTAACTATGGATTCACTCTTTTTAGATAATTCTACTAAAATTAATCTTAAGAGATAATATAATCAATATATATAATACAATATACACTGCATCCACAAAAGTCCTTACCCAGCCTTTATTTTTGCACAACCATTGATTGTAAACTTATAATTTTAGTTACAAAATTGTTTTACATGATGAAAAAGTTCATGATTATGTATTTTAAAACACCCTCTCAAAAAAACTAAAAGGAAAAAATACAGTATTTTGTAAATACAAAATCTAGCTTTTTACACGTACATTCTGTCCCTGTATTTATGTTTCGGAAAATTTTGTACATGTTATAAAAAATAAAATGCAAAATGTTTGACTCTTGTATAACAAAAATTGATCAAGATATTTAATTCAAAATTTATGGTATTTGACGTCATTTTGAATTTGCATTGAGGAGTCAGTCTGAAAATAAATCATGACAATTGGAGGTTAATTTTCCTCCCTTTAAAAATGCCATCAATGATATTCTCTTCTAATTTACTAGTGCTTTAGTTATAATTTTGTTACCTTTGGTATGATAAAAGAATTTTTGCACAAATAATTTATAAAATGCATTAAGCCTAAAATTATGCTATTAATATTCTCAAAGTTTTATTACTTTCGAATCATAATTTGTTGGTCATAAAAAATGTATTACAGCACATTAAAAATTGAAATACACACTTTTTTTCATTTTAGATTAATGCAAATAATGTTACAGATTAGGTACATACCAATACTGAAGCCTGCCAGTATTGCAACCTGAATTTTTTAAGATTCTGTAACTTTTACTGCAACCTGAATTTTTTAAGATTCTGTAAATAAAATCTCCGTTTTGAAAAATAAAAATTATATTGATCAATATTTTTCACTCCGCGGGGGAACTCCACAGCGCAATTTGAATTGGAAGTTGATCTGTCAGCACTATCCTTATCTTCAGGGCAGATGTTTTTATTTTATTTGGCTTATAATTCCTTACTAAATGTAGTATTTCATCTTGATGTACTCCGTCTTTGATATGATTTAAATCAAATTCCTCCTCATTATAATTCGCTTCCGATAGTGAAGAAAGTGACACAGAGGTTATTAAAAATGAAAAAATTTCGATTGACAAATTAGTCTGTATTCTCGACACAGCAATTATAGGACTTGAACGGTGGAACTTTGTAACTGAAGAAGAAATTATGTCTGTTTATAGAATTAAAGAGAAAGTATTATCACATAAAACAAAGCAACTTAAACAACTTACATTGAAAGAAATGTTTAATAAAGTAAACAAATAAATATTAAGCTTTTTTTTTTTTTTTTTTTTTTTTTTTTTTTTTTTTTGTAAATTTTGATATTCTTTAGATCATAATTGTTCTTTATTTCATAAATTATGGTTTCATATTTTTAATTTTATAATTTCTGCATGCCATCTTACGAGATTTAAACTGATGATCTATAATCCGGAAAAATCGATAATCCGGAATCGCCGAAGTCCCGACGAGTCCGGATTAACGACTTTTGACTGTACATAAATGAAACCATATGTACACTGTTTCAAAATAAAAGAGAAATAGTTCTATAGCTCCCATCTACTGGGCCGATTGACAAAATTCAGCTTGCATTCTTCATGTCCTGAAAGTGCAACTTTCAAGACATGAAGTGTACTAGATTTATGCATAGCATTGTTCTAATATAAGTTTTTTGACACAAAATCGGACTTTTTGTGAAATGACATGGTAATTTTTTTCCATATTTCGATTCTATGGCACAAATTCTGCCAAACTGCCAAGTTTTGTAAAACTTGCACGAATAGTTTTTAAAAAATTAGCTCTCAAAATGTTAGCTATTCAATGTGTATTGAATCTGATATATATTTATTAATATCTTTTTTTTATTAAACTTGCTTCATTCCTTCTACAAGAATTTCAAATTTAGGCTTAATCCAAATATAACTTGCACATTTTTTATTATTTATTTTTTTAAATTGTACTTTTAAATAATTTTTATAAATTTATCGAAAGACTTTTTGAATTTCGAAAAATTGTTTGAATGTATAAAATTTTTACCATCATTTTAAAGTAATTGTATTTCTAAGGATACCTGCAAAAAATTAGTTTTTTAATCAAAATTCCTAGGATATACATTAATTTACATATTGGCACCTTTTCGAAATTTGGCGTATTTAATATTAATGACAATAATCAAAATATGATTTATGCTTGTTAAAATTATTTGAAAGAATGAACAATGGACCATTATTCCTCTCATGCATCAATGAAAAAAAAATTTAAAGTAAGTAGGTTACTATAAATTAAGAATTCCGTAAAGTGTATTCTTGGATCCAAATTAAAAAAATTCGCCAAGATAAATTTTTAAATTTCTCCATAAATTTCATCCCAAATGTTACAAAATTTAATATTTAGGCATAATTTGAGTTGTAGAATCGAAATATGGAAAAAAATTGGCACATAATTTCAGAAAAAGTCTTATTATGTGTCAAAATACCTATATTAGAACAGTGGTATATATTAATCTAATATATATCCTAAGCCGCACTTTCGAGACATGAAAAACGCAATTTGAATTTCATCAATCGGCCCAGTAGAATGGGAGATATGGGACTGTCCCCCCCTTTTTTTTCCCTCGCAGCGTACAAGTCCCATGTAAATTAAATATTGATTCAGGAAGACAAATCTCAAACCATGCACTTTGCTTGCTGAAAAATTTTAGACATAAAAAAAATATATCAGAGACTAATAATTAGATACATTTTATTTTCAAATATCTTCAATTACTGTTCTGATGCTATTCCAATGGGCCTTTGTACATTTTGCTGTAAGAAACTGTCGGCATATTAGTATATTTTTGTTCAAATGCCAGTACTTCTATCTTACATGATGTCAATCTTATTCTGGTATTGGTCCAATGCTATATCAACCCTGTGACATATAAATGTTATGCTGATGTTGATCTTATTGAGTAATGATCATATTGTTTTGAAATATATACATTAATCATTTTGATAATTATTATATCATTATCGAAATTTCATTTTATGTCAGTCACATGCCAGCAACTAGCTTCAATTGTATGCCAAATATGTTGATCATGCACCAGATAAATTTTATGTCATGTAGATGCTATGCCACGTTTGTTCTATTGTCCTACACTGTGTCAATATAATATAATATAAGCTATTAAATATGTCTGTTTGGAAAAATAAGAATCCCTGTAATTATAAAATAATAAAAAATTTTTGCTTGATATTGATTTAAGCATGAAAGAAAAGGCAAAAAGTATTAACCCTTTAACTGTCAAGTTATTTTGATGATTTGGGTACACAAATTGTCAAATTTTTTTATTGGAAAAACCAAATGTAGCCGAAATAAACATCTCTCGATATATATTCGGGTATGACAATACGATGCACTCAAAAAAAAAAAAAAAAAAAAAATTACCCCGAGAAATACTCGGGCGTGACATTTTCGAACACCAGTGCTGTGCCCGAGATAATCTCAGGCATGACAGTTAAAAGGTTAAAAGATTTTGTTGTTCTTGGTAAAAGCAGGCAGAGAAAAATTGCATTTAAACTGAGAATTTCCCAAACAGTATTGTGTAATTTATTTAAATAAGAATTGGAATTGATAAAAAATGCAAATGTTTCAAAGAAGTGTAAAAAAGATAAAAAATCAAAAGATGCTGGAAATGCTTGCTTAAAATGGTTTTAAGTTATCATTTCATACCAAAAGCTCAACAACATTTGAAATCCATTGGTTTACCAGATGGTGCAAAAATTATTCTTATTATTGACAGCGATTTTTGGCTCATACTTCATTTGAAGTTTTAATAAAACATAATGTCTCCATCTTTAACTCTTTCCTTCAAATGTACACCCATCAGATATCAGAGTGCTGCATCTGCTGAAACTTTTCTTAATTTCCGATGCTGAATTTTTCTCCAGTTCTTAATTTCTCCCCTTATTTTTTTAATAGTATCTAAAATTATTTATTACAACTAAATTTTAAATTTTCTTTCTAGATGTGCAAGCTTTCCACTGTCTTCCTATTAAAATTATTTGCATTTTTAAGCATCATTATGTAAATGCTTAAAATTTTAGCTTGAGTCATTAATATATCTTTACATTTTCAGCTGCCACTTTCCTCAGGACTGGCCTCCATGTAACAGTAGTGGCATCTATGTCATTGAAGATCACTTCAGGGCGAGTTCTGAACAGAATACAGGTTTAGAAATGGAGAATGTTCTTGCCACTGAAGTTTAAGGACGTATAATTTAAATGTTGTACAGTCTGTCCAAGTGCCTTTTGTAATATAGTTTCATGTGTTTGTACAAAACAGAGCTTTCTATAGAAGATCATAGATTTTTTTTTTTTTTTTTCCTATTTATAATGAGTAGTTGAAATATTTGCTCGCAGTTACATTAAAAAACTTTTCCTTTCCTTCTTTAATGTGTTTGAAAATAGCATAGTATATTTTGTCAGTTGTTAAATTTAGAAATTTTATATTATTTAATACTCGTGCATTTATATAATTTTTTAGGCATCACAATTGTTTTTGGAAAAAAAAATTATTTTATTTTACCTTGACTACCTGAAATAATTGTTCTTAATGAGACAATTCCTTATTCAGTGATAATTTATTTCATGCTAAGTTGATGCTAAAAGTTGTTGCAGAAATTGTAGTACTTTAATACAGTTTTGAAAATATATCTCCACTGTTAAAAGTCTTTGTGAAGAAAGCAAAGCATTTAAATTTTGAAATGTAATTTAGTTGTTTATAATGCTGCTAGATGGCAAATGATTTTCTTCTAAGTATGGTATATATTTATTTAAATGTCTAAAGACTGTCACGGCATTTCATTATCAATGCTGAAATATCAGTTTTGTTTATTCTGAACTAACATAAGTTATTCATTTTCGATATCTCACCTGTTTTTAGATATTTCACTTTTAACTGAAATTTGAACTGAGTGAGCTGCGAACTGTTCTTCAGCTATTTGTACATAAAATAGTCTCAAGTAGGGACTGATAAATTGAGGTGGAATTTTATTTCCATACTAAATCCACCAGTAAAGAATATATCTTTTAGTTTAGTTATATAAGCTTATTAAAATATAGAGATCTCATAGATTTTACTGCCAGTCAGTGCTGTAATCGGCTATTGATTGTTTCTCTCTACATGTAAAATGATTATTGTGCCATGTTTCAGTAGATTTACAAAACTTTCTGTCAGACATCTGTAGTTCAGCATGCACTTACTTATTTTCCACAATCATTAATGAAATTTTGTTGTACTTGGAGACATATTTCACGCATAAAAATAAAAAAAAATAACATTTTTAATTTTTATTCTTAGACATGTTTAATAAACTGTTTATCTTTTAAAATTTCTATACAATAAGTAGTAATATGCACAATTTATGCAATTTGTTATAGCATTAAGATTTTAAAGAGAATGAGGTATTCTCTAAGTCAGTAATATATGCAGTAAGATGAGAATTTAGTACTTAAGTGCTGTCTTCATTTAGAAATTTTGACAGTATATGTGGTTTACGTAGATCACAGTTTTATTAAGTGATTAGTTACTGATCTCTTGATGTCTTAGAAAACTACTGTTTAGCTTTGAAATGAAACCGTGTTTCCTTTGATTTAAAAACTCAGTTGACTTAAGTGAGAAATCATTATCATTTATTTCTGTAACTTTCATAATCTTGAACAAGAAGCAAAATAGTTCCCCCCCCCCCCAAGTTAATTCTTTAGCTCCTTTAGTGAAATTTTGCAGTAGTAACTGTATATAGCATTTGTACATTTTTAGTTGGATCTCATCTTGTATATAAACGGAGGCTGTTTTTATGTCCGTTTCTGCAGCACCATGTCCTGAATAAATTCATGATTGTCTATTTTTGTATACTGTGTGTTTGGACTCATTTTATTTTATTTTGATTTTTTTTTTAAAACAACACTACCCTCTGGCAGAAGAAAAAAACTCACGTTTGATAATTTAGTTGCTTCAAAATAATTTTTTGAGTTCTGAATTCAAATGATACAAAAATGGAATACTACAGAGCTATTTTGAAAATTCAATTTCTTATAATTGATTGATTGTTTACCTCCTTGCACCTTGCAAAGCCAACTTCCTGCCTAAGCTCCCCCTCCCCCATTCCACTCAAAAATATCTTGAAATTTGACCAATGAGATGAGGAAACCTTTTGTTTAGGAAGTATCAAAATCATAACTCAAAAAATGAGAGAATCTATTTTGTATCCACACCTTCTTTCAGTTTTATGACCTATTTCTACTGACCCAGAAACACTTTTTCACTTTAACCAAAAACATTAAAAGGTTCACCTAAAAATTTCAATTCAAATAAAAATATTAATTATGAAAAATACTGATTATGGATAATTTCAATATGATACTGGAAGTCAAAATTCTCAATTATTCATACAATCTGAGGTTAATGATTGAGAGAGAAATGTGAAGTAACTAAAAGATTATCCTGAAGCTCAACTTTTAGAATGAGCTCTCAATGCATTTTATACAAAAGCAAAAAATAAGTCTAGTTACTACTCATATTTTTCTATAGATAAGTGCTGCACTTTAAGAATGATCAATGTATAAATTTAGCTATATTGAAAAACAGTGAATAAAGTGGCACAGAGACAAAAATTTGACTTTGAATGCAAAGCAGACGAATAGTCTTTCCACTGCTCCAAAATAAACCTAATAACTGTTCTTTTCTACATTGGGAACTTTTAACTTTGAGAAGATATGGTGCTGGTATAGGCTAGTCTAGTCTGCACGGCTATTGCCGAAGTGTCGCGCAGCTGCGCAACTTATCCGGCTCTTGAAAATTAAGCCCAAAGGGCGCATGACTTTGAATTTTTCATGACAAGTTTCTAGGAGGTCAAAGGTGGTTACAGGGGGCGACCATGAGTCGCAAGGCCAAAGAGTGGCGCGCGCATCAAGAAATTTGCAAAGCAGGAGCCGTGAGGATCTGTATGATATGTTTGTGTTGTATCATAAAAGAAGACACAGACAGAATCCAATAGTTTCAATCATGACATCTGAATTAATATATATCATAACAATTAAACATAAGCATACATTATTACATAAATACAAGTGAAAAGAGCATACAAACTAAACATACAAATTACAAATGAGAAATAAAATATATACACTATATACAATATAAACAAGCACTGTGCATCCCCTTCATGATATTTTTATGTGGGAAATTTTAAGTCCCTGGCGAGGTGGGCCGCGAGTGGTCTTAAGTGAAGCATCTTCTTCAAGAATAACATAATCTAAACATTTAAATCGGTCATATGGTTGCATTCTTGTGCCTTGTTGAAGAATTTGATTATTTGCTTTGTGTAGATATGTTTCTACAGATTCCATTTTCAGGTCACGTGCAGGGTGTTGATTCGAGACATAATAGTGAGCATTTGTTAATCATTCTAAGTACTTTATTTTGAATAATTTGCAGCGTGTTTAAACTCCTTTTTCTGAACTGTTGCCCAGGCCGGAGAAGCGTACGCAAAAATAGGACGTATAATGGAGTTATAAATATGTCTTCCTCTTGATATCTAATTTGGAGGTCGCAGACAGGAGCGGCTTTAAGACTTTGAATTACTCCAATAGTCTTACCTCTGACACATTTTATATGCTCTTTCCAAAGGAAATTAGCACTATATTTTAAACCTAAGTATGTAGCAGTTTTTACAACTGGTACAACAGTATCAAATAGCAACAGTTGTGCAGTTAATGGGTGGTTCATTTTATTCTTTTTAAAAATCAGAAGCTTAGATTTATCTGCATTAATTGCAATTTTCCAATTGGCACACCAGGTTTCAAGTTTCGGCATAAATCTTTGAAGTTTCTTAATCGCAAAATTTGGCGACCCAGACTTGACGGCAAAAGCTGTGTCGTCTGCGTAGCAGCCCATGAAAAAATTTTGATCTAGATGTTCTGCAGGTAGGTCTGCCACGTAGAATAAATAGAGCACGGGCCCTAAAATAGATCCTTGAGGGACCCCGGCCTGTACTTGCTTCTTATCTGAGGTGCTATCATCAATGTGAATACTGAATGTTCTGTTTGAAAGAAACGAGTGAATAATTTTGATTAACTCAGTGCTGAACTGCAAACTGATTAATTTATAAATTAACCCCTCATGCCAGACGCGGTCGAACGCCTTCGCCACGTCCAGCATGAGTAAGGCAACATATCTTTTGTTGTGCAGTGCACTCACTACCTATGTACTCATTCAGTCTAACCAGCTGCTTCGTCCTGGATAGGGCTTTCCTGAAGCCAAACTGTTCAAGTGGTAATTTATCCAGGTGTGGTTGTATTCTACTAAGGACAATTCTTTCAAGTATTTTTCCCATACTGGGCAGCAGGCTAATGGGCCTGTACCCATCCGTTTTTGTCAGATTCTTTCCCGGCTTTGGGATCACAATCATTTTGGCAGACTTCCATATATTCGGAAAGTGGCTATTGTACAGGCAAGCATTCAGAATACCTGTAAGTCGATTAATCATATTTATTGGCAGCCATTTCAGTGCTACATTATTAACATTATCCTGCCCGGGGGCCTTTCTATTCCTGAGCTTTTTAATAATATTTATGATTTCCTGTGGTGAGGTAAGCTCTAAGTGATTTTGCAGGTTGTTTTTGCAAAGCCATTCTGACACTGTGGAGTTCACATGAGTTGTAAAATCCTGATTGCATGGGTAAGTGTTTGTGATGAATTGCTTTTTCAAAGTGCTCAGCGAGCGTATTGCATTTTTCAATATTTGTGAGCGCAATGCCATGCTCGTGGTGGTAAATCGGCCTATTTAACTGTGGGTTTATTTTTAAGACGTTTAACAAACGACCAGAATGAGCTACTAGGCTCGTTAAAAACTCTCAATTTTCTCATCCCAGAGCTCTTTACGGTGGGAGTGGGAGTTTATCTGTTTTTTAATTTCCCTTACCAAGTCTATTCATCTCTTTTTTGGTATCAGGATTGCAAGTGAGATGATACCTTTTTCCTGAAGCTTATTTCTGATCTCTGATGAGACTTTTAATCCTATTGTGGTAACTTATTAGTAACCTGTCTTCTAGGAATTTTTCTCGTGGCCGCATGGTAGGCACTTTGTATGTCCATTTGTAAGATGTTTGGCCGCAAGCTCAATGTCCTCCGGAGTGCGTAAATTTACTGTTAGTTTTACATTCTGAGAGAATTTCATTGAAAACTTTCCAGTTTGTTGTATTAATGTGTTCATCCATAACATCTTTGGTTTGTACCTAGGGTCGCAATGACCGGGCAGTGGTCTGAATCTAAATCTTGAATCACCTCTAGATTGAAAGAGAGGGAGATGGTCGAGATGAAAATATCCAAAATGTCACCTGTATTGGGATTATTCGGCAAATACGTGTACTCACTTGGTACATGAAAATAATAGGGTGATTATTAATGAATTCGGAAAGCTTGATTCCATTTTTATTTGTCCTCCTGCAATTCCATTCCTGAATTTTGGCATTTAAATCCCCTGCAAGAATGACCTGTTTATTGATGTCAAGTATTTTTGCGAGATAATTTATATCAAGCATATTCTTCGGGGGATTATACAACGAAGTGAAGTATACGTTACCATAATGCGGCAGAAATACAGACACAGTCACAATTTCATGCCCATTATAAGCGCTCTTCGCAGATCAGACAGGATTGGAGAGAGTTGCGTACAAAAATCGCGACCCCCCCACCTCGGTGACTTAGACGGTCGCATCGATAACATAAATAATTAGGAATCTTCATCGGGGTACTTGGCGTAGCGAAGGTCTCAGTAATGAGCGCCACGTCGATATTATGACACGTAAGGAAGTTTGATAGCTCAGTGAGCTTATAATGAATGCTACGGGCATTCCAAGTCATGATAGAGATGGGAACTTTTGTTGGTCTAGTTTGACCCATTATCTATAGTAGAAGAAGTATTTTTCTCTTGGTTATTTTCTTTTATTTCTTTGACTTGTTGCGAGATCTGAATTCCCGCATTTTTTATTACGGAAACAAGTTCCGCAAGGTCCGTGAAGACTTGTTAAGCTTCACTCAATATATCAGAGTATAGGCCTGTGGAGAGCGCCTGTGAATAGGATTTATTTTCAATCACCCTACTGGGGAAACTGATTGGTTTCTCAGATTTTCTTTTGGGGAATTTCTCACAGCCCCTGAAACTGGAAGTGTGGGAACCCCCGCAATTTGCACAGACTGGAGGCTTGTCATTGTTATTTTTATCAGGGCATTCATTAACAAAATGTCCCTTTGCCACATCTGACACATTTGGGTGCATAATTGCAACCCGCTTGTGTATGATTAAACCCCTGGCAACGAAAACATTGCAGGGGTCCTTGTCGACCTAAATACTCTTTGAATCTTAATTTTCATGTGACATAGAAATCTCTCATTGTATATTTCCTTGGACTTGTCATTTTTTGGTAGCGAAATTAAAAACAGAGGGAAGTTTGGTAACCTCTCCGTTACGCCGTCTTGTCATTTGTTTTAACATCTTTGATATGATAATCAAGTTGTTCAAGTTCAGATTTGATATCATCGATCAGAGTATGTTCAGTAAGTCCTCTAAGGACAACTTTTAAATATCGGTCTTCCGGTAGGATGTACGAATGGTGTTCTACTTGTTTTTCCTTAAGTATTTGGACTACAGTCCGGTAATCGTCAGGTGTTTCAGTGAATAACTTTGATACTTCCCGTAGGAATATGCTCCCCGTGAAATTTGATTTTTCGCTCTGAAGGAAGATAGATCGAATTTCACTCCATTTCAATTTATTTTCTTTAGAGTAATTGGCGGAATTTTTGAATTCCTATTATTTTGTTTTTGTTTATTTGCATTCATGTCAGTGGGGTTT